GAAAGAGGAGAAAAATGAGCAAATAAGCTGTAAGACAATGTGGGGAATATTTAAAAAAGCATGAACTGTGATTCCTCTCTCCAAGTTTGTGGGAGATAGAGTCATTGCTGACCTTTGAACCTTTCTTCCTCTGGACAAATTGGGAGCAAGCTAATGATATCAAGGTAGGTGAAGACACAAATACACTGACATTATGTACATGGAGTAAAACTGTACAGTGTAGCACAAACACTTTACTAGAGCACTTCATTTTGTGTAACAAAAAAACACTTTTTTTCACAGGCTGATCATTTCCAAAGGTTTTGTAGGACAAGCAAAACATTTTGTGCCATTATGCAGCCCTTCACAGAGTTCTGGGCAGAGCAGCTGCACCACATGTATGGGAGGAGCATAGTCAACCCTTTCCAACTCTCCATACAGTTCTAGGGATCCTTTGTATGATCCTTCCTGAGATTTTCCTTGAGAGTTCATAGTTCCCACTGCTCCCACTAAATAACCATGACTGCTCCCATTAAATAACCATGACTGCTCATTTTCTCTCTTTGAGTACTGTGGATACCTACAGCTTTCTAACATTCAAACAAAGCCAGAAACAATTACAAGTCAAAACCCAACCCACCAACCTACTTTTGCTCCCCTGGAGAACAATAAGGTAGTGCAAGTTATGAGTGCAAGAAAGCATTTGGATCCCAAGAGCGAAAGCTTCCAAAGGTAACACTTTGGCCACTTAAGGAAGAAAAAGTTGCTTCTTCCCTGGAGAGGTGCAAAAGATTTCTGCAGCCTCAATGAAATGGTTATCACCGTTCTCCTACTGCATTATGGGTAATGGCTGTAAAAGCAAATTCAGCTTTTACGGGGGAACATAGACAACTTTTTGAACATATTAAATGTCCTGTGGCAGCTAGGAGAGCCATACACTGTGATTAAAACCATTACATCTAAGTATGTGACAAAGAATACTCTGCTAACTCTTCAGAAACACCTGCAGAAACCTGTTACATTTTCTTGTATTCAAAACAAAACACTGAGTAGTTTCAATAAGTACAGTCCTAGATGTTCCCTAATGGCTGTTCTGTTTCCTGAAGGCAAAGAAAGTGATTCTTGATCTCACTTACGATAACGTAAATCAGAAATTATGCCAGTCAAGTCAACAGAGTAACACGAGGGCAAAGCTAATGGAACCAAAACCAGATTCATGGCCCAAGTCTTTGGCAGCACAGAAAGTGCTTAAATTGATCCACAACAAAAATTTCTCTCATCGTGTTATCCTTTTTGACTAGACAGTAATAAAAGTCCTAAAATCCAAACTACTTTCATCAGGTTTTAATCAAAATCTCCTATCTCCTTCATCTTCTCATTTATGGCCAGAAACTGAAAACCTTCTTACAAATATTTTGCTGGCAAAGCAACATCTCAGCTTTATGATGCCCCCTTGTTTAATTTTGAAGAAAAGAATGCAAATAGGAATTGGATTAGTGATTATCTGAGAAATGAGAAATGGATATTCAATTACTTCTGAGTGCCAGTAACGCACTCTGAAGAAAAAAAAATGTCTTCACTTCTGAATTTTGTTTTTTTCTAATTTCAAAGATAAAAGAGAGCCTCTCTGCTGCTCTTCCATTTCAGTAAATGGCAAGAAAGCAGCTGAGACGTCACGCAGTTGTTCAAGGTTAGTTGTGTTCGTGTCCACAAAAATTTGGAGATTGCTGTTCCTTCCAAATTAAGCCTCTGGGCGTGCAAGATACTTTTCATACTTTGCTGAGAGGTTGAATGCAGCTTCTCCCCCTTCCTCTCCTGTTCACTGGGATGCAACCACTAATAAACAGCATGGTGGCTAGGTTTGAAGTTGGATGCAGTTATCTTCAGTGTCACTCATAAATACCAGGTTCTTGGTGGGAGCTTCACAAGCCAAATGCAATCTGGTCTTTCCTGCCTTAGTGTGGTTGTCCCTGGCAGCCTGAACACCAGGAGACCCATGCCATGCAGCTCTGTGTGTGCTGCAGGTGGTATTATCCATGTCCCAACTCTCAGCACCTCACTGAAGCACTAAAAAGAAGCAAAATCTCATTTAGATCAGGTGAAAGCTTCCAGGCTGTGTAACTCCTCATTATCTGTTATTTTGAATGTCATGTTGCATCACCATACTTTGAAATATAAACTCTCCTTTTTTGACAGCTCTGTGAGTTTTGCTACAGGCTACTTCACTCAGCCCTTCAGGACACAGTATTTGTTGACCTTCACTGAACAGGAGAGCAAACAAATAAGCCTTCTCATAAAATCATCTCTATACATTTGCCATGGTACTTACAACATTTCTCTGATGGTGTTACCCCTGTGACTGCGTGGAGGACACCTGACCTTTTGTCAGTCTAT